AACTGATGATCTCATCAGGGGGAGTTAATACGCGTTGTACTCTTTTTCCCTTACAAGGTTTTGTCCCATTGGGTTTTCCTTGCAAGGTTTTTAACGAGGCAACCAAAAGGCGTATTTCTAAATATGTGTACTCTTTTTTCATCATTAGGATTTTTTTTCCATAGGGTTTTTTTCCTAATAAGGTTTTAACGAGGCACATTATTTATGGACATCCAAGGGGGAGTGTTATGATAAAAATAAAAATATGGTGGATGTCTACTCTTCCTCCATGATCTTTCTCTCAAATGGTTAATGACATATTTTCTATGCTCAATGACATATTTCATGACATATTTTCTTCACTTTTCATGCCTATATAAAGACCTTGTAATAGATAGGAAAATACACACAATTTAAGAAGAAAATCTCTTCCTTCTCTCTATCTCTATTTTTGTTCATGTTTTACTAAGTTGCTTTTATTTCTTGTTCATGCTTTACTAAATTGCTTTTATTTCATAACAATTATTACCTAGATCAACTAATTTTGTCCTAAAAATGAGACATGTCAATTTTTCCACACGACACTTGGCAAATTTTCATGACTGACTTCTTTCCTTTTAATAATAGATATTGATATTGATTTGGGAAGATAAAACATTTGCCCTACGTATTCTATCGTAAGGGTTTAGAGAGAGAAAATTTGGGGATGTTGGGGAGGCTAGGGTTTAACTAATTATTGCCTAGTTCGACTAGTTTTGTCCTTAAAATGAGACATGTTAATTTTTTCACACCAAACTTGACAAATTTTGATGACTGGCTTCTTTTCTTTTAATAATAGATAGATAGTGACCTCTAGAAAAGGTCATTTGTGCAAATGTCCCGATCAAAGCATCATTTGAAACGGAGTCCACAGAGCGTGAATGCCACTACAAAATGGACCCGACCCATTTTGTTGCTAGGTCCCAAAAGATAATAATGTTGTATTAAAGCTGCAATGTCAAGTAAAATAAAAAATAAAAAAATTCTTGGATCTTGTAGTATCCCAAGAGCTTAAAGAGTATTTTATTTTGCCAAATTTTGGTCATTATTAAATTTAAGAAATGTATACAGATTACATCGGAAAAATAATCTACTTTGTCAATCTAGGTGGCAAATAAAGATTGTTTAAAGTTGAATCCCCCAAAGTTGTCATTATAAAACTTTTTCAGTGGTGTGCTAAATCCAAATCTCGTGAGATCTAGATTTGTTTGTTCTTATACACAGTATATATAAATATCTTATGAAGCAAAAATAAATAAATAAATAAATAAATAATTAGATTTATCTCCCACTTCCACTTCTCATGTGCTTGTCTCTCTCTACTTGTTGTCAACAACAACAACTAAGAAGTAAGTTGCCGAGTAGTTGCTGAATGAAAATTAACCAAACAAAAACTTTCTAATATATTTTTTGGCCATGACATCGGACATTCTTTAAATAGAAAAGATATCTATTGAAATAAACATCTATAATAAGTAATACTGGAAACGAGAACAAAACGTGTAAGCTAGATGCCATGATAATTTATTTGAACTTCTTATTATTAGTAAGTTTACCTATTCTTGAAAAATCTTAATAGTTCAGTTGATTGGCTATTTAAACTTTTTCTTTGTTGGTCGGTTTGATTCCTTACCTTATAAGTAAAAGTAATTACGAAAGAACAAAATATCAATAAATTGAGAAATCATCTATTCACGGCACAAAAAGCGCTCATTCACTTCGTATCCGGAAAGGCAGGCGGGGATCAATCCTTATCCCCTCGCCTACTTTCCTTTTCCTTCCTAATAATAATAACAAAATTTAAAAAGGTTTACCCAATATATTAGGATAAGACTTCATTAGCGAATTGATAATCGACGGATTTCTAACGATTATTTTAACCCTATCCATTAGGATAAAACTTAATTAGCAAAGTACTAATCCACGGTTATATTTTGAATGAATTTTCAAATTATTTTTCAAACTATGAATACTTCGAGTAAGGTAAAGTAAAGTAAGGATAATTTAGTAAAATACTCCTTAGAGTTAATGCTATTAAATACTACTACTTTTTAATGACTGTGTCAAAAGTTTTAGTAAAATGTTAGATAAAAGGGGAGAGCGGCCAAAGGGGGTATATTTCGACTTCTTCCCTCAAATTTTAGGATCCGTTTCGGTCATAGATTTTACCAAAAACAAATTTGGATTTTATTTGGCAAATATATATTTGTTCATAGATTTTGGCAAAATTTCAAATCCTCAAATCAGTTCAATAGCTGGTTTTGGACCAAAATATCACTATTACATTTTTTTAAAATTACCCCAAATTTTTGTATTTTATAAAAACAATATTGTTTCGTCTTCTCGGTCATCTGACAGTGTACTATTATGTAGTTCATTATAAAAATGATAATTTTCTACCAAATTTATTTATGTTTAGGATTATAGTTTGCGATAATATAATGAATGTTATTAATAATGATATTGTTGGATATTTGTGATAGTTTTTAGAATTGTAGGTATGTTTCATGTTTCATGTTTTTTCAAAATAAATCTGAAAAATATATTTTGAAAATTGATGTTCAAATACATTTTAATTGAAAATCTATGGCCAAACGCTAGTTTAGTAGGGAGAAAATTTTGTAATCGAGAAAATAAAAATGAAAGTAGAAACTCCACATTGCCGGCTTCCAATTCCAAGTGATGGATTATTTCTCACTCTTCCTTTTGGATTTGCCGAAGAGCACTTAAATCAAAACCGGGCATAATAATAAGTGTGATCCCAATAGAGTTCAAAGTTCCCTAGGGGAGTTTGTTTTTCTCTTTTCTTTCCCTAGGAGTGATTAATATCGGCCAAATCTTGATTTTATATTAGAAAAAAACTACTTCAATTTTTTTTTCAAAAAAATAAACTATTACTAAGCTACCGTTTGTTCATACATTTCCAAATTTATTTTATAAAATCTGATTTGGTTGAAGTTTTATTTGAAGATGAAAATGTGTATGGACATTAGTTTTCAAAACATATTTCACTTTTTTTTAAACAAAAAAAAACATGAAACATGACTTATACCTAAAAGTTATAAAAACTGCCACAAATACCCAATAGTACTTTTATCAATGACATTCGTTATATTATCACAAACCATAGTCCTGAATATAAATAAATTTGGTACAAAATTATTGTTTTTATAATGAACTACATAATATACTATCAGATCACCGAAAAGACGAAACTGTATTGTTAAAAAATAATAAATTGTGGGCTCTTTTATAAAATACAAAAGTTTGGGATAATTTTTAAAATATATAATAGTAATATTTTGGGTCAAAATTTGGGATTTGGGTTTTAGGAGTTTACTAAAATATGAATAAAATTTATGAATAAATATGTATTTGCTAAAATAACCCAAATAAATTTTGGGTCCTAATAGTAGTCTATTACTTCATCTTATAGTAGTCTAGTATAAGATGTGCAAAACACGTGCTGACGTGGCCCCACCACACTTTTTCGTTCTGTTATGTTCTGTTTGCTGTCTCCAAGTTTTTCTTGGCTGGCAGTGTTTGTATTTATATACATATTGTAAATTTTCCCGCACCTCCACCAAGTACATCTGCTTTCTACGATCTGTCTCTGTTTTATTATACTCTTTCCCATTTCTCTCTTGAAAGGTGAAAGGTTCTCTCCAAGAATACAGAGATCCTTTCTCTACATAGATTTTGTGTATGTATGTAACCTTCTTCTGCATTGTAAAAATTGTATTTTTTTTTTGGGATTTTTTCATCATGCATGTGGATTTTTTCTTTGTTTATAGATCTTGTGATTTGGGAAAGAAATGTCAAAACAAGGGGCTTTTGATCTGGCATCTGGGGTTGGTGGCAAAATTAACAAGGAGGAAGTTCTCTCTGCTGTTGACAAGTATTCCTCTTTTCTCTCCCTTTTTATTATGCTTTTGGGTGTAATTCAAATTAAATATGAAAAAAAGATTACCCCTTTAAAGCTCAGAAACTAAAAATCTGAGATTTGTATGCAATGTCTGTTGGCAGTCTTTTAGAAAGAATCAGTTTTTATCTATCTTTGGGAGATTGATCTGTTACACTTAAGAATTGTGATATAATTAATAGGACTGTATCACAAAGATTTCTATTGTGATTATACTGTAGATCCTATTCTTTTTGTGTAATGCATAACATGTTTGGTGGAGTAGTGATGATGATCTGTCATTTTCTAAGATTACGTTGAGCTACTTAGATCCCGTTTGGATTAGGTGATTTGAAGTAGCCGATCGCTATTAGGTGCTGAAACTGATTTAATAAATAAGTAGTTACATGTTTGGGTGCAAGTACTGAAATTTGATAATAAGTTGCTACATTAGTTGATAAAAAAGTGCTTATAAGCTCTTTTTCTGTTAAAATGACTTAAATAACCTTAGAACTGTTTACACATATAATGGCGTAATTTCTTCAAAATTTTAGATTCCAGATCGATTCAAATACAATATTTGTCATTTTATTTTAAATACAACTGTGCTTAGATAAGATAATTTTTCTGATAAATATAATTTATTTTATGATAAGCATATAATCATAAGTTATAATAATTAATAAATTGACAAAAGTTTCTCAGTAAAAAATAAACCTAAATAGGGCAAAATATTTGAAGAGAAACAAACATTGTCTTCATCACCACAACACTTAGAAAGCAATACACCAAAAATTTGATATGTCCTCATTTATTACATACCGTTCAAAGATTAATACACAATCACATATATATAAATATGCAAAGGAATAGAGAATTTGCTTATCTTAAATAGTCAATGAGAATTGCAGACTTGAAGAAGCGGGAGGAGGGGGGGGGGTTAGGTTGAATACTTGAGGCAATGAGTATCGATGCCGGAGTTTTGTTCTAAAAAGAAATATTTTAAGGATAAAATAGTAAAAATCTTGGTCAAACTTAAAGTGCTTATAAGCTAAAATTTCATAAGCTGGGGGGTGACCATCTTATGACTTTTGGCTTATTTTTGACTTATAAGCACTTGGCTTATAATCACTTTTAACTTTACCAAATGCGTAGGTTTTTTTTTTCTCTGGGTGTTATTAATAGTGCCAACATCATGTTCTTTAGTACCTAAAATTATTTTATGAACCTGTTGTAGCTTAGATAAGTTAATGATATTTCTCTGACAACTCAATTTTTGAAGGTCCAATTTTTTCTTTGAGGTCCTTAGAGTCCAGAAAATTCCCGCCCACCTTGCTCAATAATTTCCTGTCAATAAAATTGCCATATTGTTTTTTGTGATATAATAATATAAGAGGTCAGCTATCAAAAGGATGGAGTAGTACTATTAATTGTTTTTCTAGTAGTAATAAAATTGTGTCTACTACAAAAAAGAGAAATTCTTGAAGTCAGAGACATTTTGATCAGAAATGGACACCAAACTTCTGCTTGCAACCGATTTCCGAATTGCAGTTTACTTTCCTTCTTCCTTTTTTTTTGTTTCTTTTTGTTTTATATGATTGTTAATCTTATCAATTTTTCTAAATGTATTTGTTGATTTAAAATTTTATCAAATGAACTAGGTATGAGAAGTACCATGGTTATTATGGAGGTGAAGAAGAAGAGAGAAAGAATAACTATACTGACATGGTGAGAAACATTTCTATTATTTATTATAATTTTAATGCTTTAGAAATCAGTGTTCACAATCTATGCACAGTAATTGACAATTGTTGGATTTGGCAATCTCGTATTCTCTGGTAATCCTCATGTCATCCATTTGACATTGATTGATCATGTAAAGCTTTGCTGTTGCTGTGTAATTGCATATTGATATTCCTATTTGAGCCTGTTAGTGACGTGGGAAGAAAGATCTCTTACACAGTCACACATTATATCTAGTTAGCAAAACAACATCCGAAACTGTTTCAGCAATTGATGAGTGATTTTGCGCACACACCTTGAGAGGAGGTGTTATTGGCTTATAAGAAAGACAAAGTGAGTTTTACACCCTGCTCCTAACTCTTTTGATGTGATTTTGCTGAATAAAATGAACTAAGAGGACAAACTTTTCTTTTATCAATGAAGATGAATTCTTTCTTGTTTTACTTTAGCTCCAAAAGCTGAATTATTGAGATCTCTGAATAGTTACTAAAGCTATGGTGATCTTGGAGGTAGAAACTGTTATTGCTTTTGGTTGGAGCCAAAAGCTAGGAAACCAATACGTGTCCCGGCCAGACCTCTTAACCATATTTTAGCTTTTCTGTATTATCACATTTGCTGCCTTTTGGAGCCTAGAAGTGCTATGTTGCACAAGCCAGTTCTGTTATTTGAGGAAAAGGCAAAGTTTTAGAAATTTCAACTGAATTGAAGTTGGAATAGGTTAGGTTTATAGCAGCTCATTATTTCATTAGTCTCAAAATTTTCCCTAACTGTTAGATGGTTTGATCTTGTCTTACATAGACTCTGAATGCGGTAATACTATGATGAATGAAGGTGGTAATATGGGATAAGTGTAAACCTAAAATAAGTTGGAGAGAAGCTGTTTCAAAATACCTATAATCTTTTAGCAAATACCTAGAATTTGCGTAGCTTTGTGTTATGCAAATTCACACGTTCTTGTCTTCCTGTAGACCAGCAAAGAACTTTACAAGTTTAATAACTCAAAGGATGTTCTTGTTCAAGTTAGTATGAATAGAGTTGTTAAGAACATAACATGAAGCAAATAATTCATGCAGGCGACACCAACAATCCCTACCGGTTAGAATTAGGACTTAGTTGTTGTTAGATAGTTATGTAAATTACCCTAGTCCCACATGGAATATGAGTAGAATATGTATTGTGTATAGTTATTAATAGGGTTGTTGTAAAACACTTATAAAAAATCAATATTATATTTTTCTCCCGTGCATTCTCACATGATATCAGAGTATCGGTCAGAAAAATTCGATGTGCGTCATTCCAGTGACGTCCAAGAAGAAAGAACTCAATCACCGTGTAATTTTCCGGTGACCTAAGTGGTTGTCTGCGTCAACTATCATATCTAGCGGTTTTGTGCGAAAACCAGCACCACCACGAGATCCACCATAGTCCAGCGACCACCAGTGTTATCAAAGGCGAAAAGCGTAAAAAAAGCTCTAATGTCCCTTGGGGCTTTAAGCGCAAAGCGCAAATAAAGCGTGGGCTTTAATTAAAAAAGGCGCAACTGGAGAAAAAGTAAAAATATTTATAAGTAGTCCAAGACTAATAATTATAAGCATGACTAACAAATATATGGACAAAAAAATTGAAAAAAAATTATGATAAAGGGAAATATCAATTGTTTAATGTCGTCTTTTCAGGATTACACTCATTGGCAAGGAAAAGTATGTCTTAGAGCATTGATGCGACACTAAAGCGTCCACAAAGCGAGACGAAGCGCTCAACATGTTTTGAGCCTCGCTTCAGGGCTTAAGCGCGCCTTTGACAACACTGGCGACCACGCCCCTGTCACCCCCTCCGGCAGATCTTGCTCCACGCGCCCACACGCACCTGGAAGGTCTCCAGAATTTTTGGCGAGTCTGTTCACGCGCCGGCGCATGAGCATATTTTCCGGCATATTCCAAGTTTGGGTTTTCTTTTGCGTTGGTCGCCTTCTTTTTCCAACTTAGCGAAATCACTTAAATGCTCTGTTTTATTTCTTGATGTCCTTGTCTTTATACAGGTACGCAGTACGGGGCGGATCATTGGCACCAGGTGTTAACCAAATGGACTTTATTACCTTATTCTTGCAAAATCACATGGACTTTTATCTTATCTTCCTTCAAGAACTCGTCCTGTTACTGATTCACCTGACTATTACATAATAGGTTGAGACATCCTAGTTTGTCGAAACTTTTAGAAAATGGTACCTGGTTTATCTCAATTGTCTACCCTAGAGTGTTAGTCATGTCATCTCGGTAACAATACTCGCTCTCATTTTCGTTTGCGTCATGATAATCGAGTAGAGTCACCTTTCACTTTAGTCTATTCAGATGCTTAGGGCCCTAGTCGGGTCAGTTCTACCTTGAGATTCCGCTACTTTGTCAGTTTCATTGATGATTATTTCAGGTGTACTTGGATATTTTTGATGAAAAAACGATCCGAGTTATTTTCTATTTTCCAGACATTCCACGCTGAAATTCAAAATCAATATGGGGTTTCTATCTGCACAATTCATAGTGATAATGCCCTAGAATATTTGTCCATCCCCATTTCAGCAGTTTGTGAACTCTCATGGGATTATTCAACAAACATCTTGTCCATACACATCTCAACAAAATGGGGTAGCTGAAAGAAAGAATAGACATCGTATTGAAACTGCTCGTACCCTATTCATACAATCTCATATTTCATTGCGTTTTTGGGGGATGCCAGTTTTACATCTTGTTATCTTATTAGTCGTATGCCATCATCAGTTATCCAGAATCAAGTTCCATTCTCTGTCTTGTTTTCCCATCCACCTTTGTTCTCTCTTCCACCCCGTGTCTTTGGGAGCACGTGTTTGTTCATAACCTTACTCTAGGAAAAGATAAGTTAGTTTCTCGTGCTCTTAAGTGCGTATTTTTGGGTTACTGGAGAACGCAAAAGAGATATCAATGCTATTCACCTGACCTCCAGTGGTACCATGTTACCTTTTTTGAAACTCAATCATACTTCACAGGTCCAGGTAATCTCTTAGATATTTATGAGGTGCTACTAATTCTATCTTTTTGATATTCAGTCACTATCTCCCATTTATCTTCCTCTATAACTCCAGCTCCACTTACAACTTCATGTCCATCACCTAGTCCAGTTCAACCATTTACAGCTCCACCACTCTTGACTTATTATCGTCATCCACGCCCAGCATCAGGCCCAGCTGATTCACGTCCTGCATCTGACCCTGCTCCTATTGCGGACTTGTCTCCTTTTAGTTAATCGATTGCACTTCGAAAAGGTATACGATCCACACTTAATCCTAATCCCCATATGTCGGTTTAAGTTACCACCGTCTATCATCACCCCATTATGTGTTTGTATTATCTTTGTCCTTTGTCTCCATTCTTAAGTTTACAGGTGATGCATTGTCTCATCCAGGATAGCGATAGGCTATGATTGACGAGTTGTCTACTTTACATACGAGTGGTATTTGGGAGCTTGTTCCTCTTTCTTCGGGTAAATCTACGGTTGGTTGTCGTTGGGTGTATGCAGTCAAAGTTGGTCCAGATGGACAAGTTGATCGACTTAAGGCTCGTGTTGTTGCCAAAGGGTATACTCAGATATTTGGGCTCGATTACCGTGATACATTCTCTCTCTTGGCCAAAATAACATCAGTCCGCCTTTTTCTATCCATGGTTGTTGTTCGCCGTTGACCTCTCTATCAGTTGGACATTAAAAATGTTTGTCTTCACGGTGATCTTGAGGATGAGGTTTATATGGAGCAACCACTTGTTTTTGTTGCTCAAGGGGAGCCTAGTGGCCTTGTATGTTGGTTGTCGATCCCTCTATGGTCTAAAGCAGTCTCCTCGAGTTTAGTTTGTTAAGTTCAGCACAATTATTTAGCAGTTAGGCATGACTCGTAATGAAACTGATCACTCTTTGTTTTATCGGCATTCTGCTTCAAATCTCTATATTTATCTGGTGGTTTATGTTGATGATATTGTAATTACCGGCAACGATCAAGATGGTATTACTAAATTGAAGCAACATCTCTTTTAGCACTTTCAGACAAAGGATCTGGCAGATTTAAGTATTCTCTAGGTATTGAGGTCGCTCAGTCTAGCTCAGGTATCCGAATTCTAAACTTCTTTGTAGACTTGTTGACTCCTATGGATCCGAATTCTAAACTTCTGCCAGGACTGGGGGAGCCGCTTAGTGATCCTGCAAGATATAGGCGGCTTGTTGGTAAATTAAATTACCTCACAGTGACTAAACCTGGCATTTCCTTCCGTGTGAGTGTGCCAGTTTATGGATTCTCCCTGTGATAGTCATTGGGATGCAGTTGTCCGCATTCTTCGATATGTAAAATCAACTCCAAACAGAGGATTATTGTTTGAAGATCGAGGCCCTGAGCAAATCGTTGGATACTGACGGGGCATGATCATTTTCTGATAGACGTTCTACTTCTGGATGTTGTGTTTTAGTAGGAGGTAATTTTGGTTTCTTGGAAGATCAAGAAACAGAATGTAGATGCGGGCTAGTGCAGAAGCAGAATATTGAGTAATGGTTGTGGAAATATGTGAGCTAGTTTGGATCAAACATTTGCTTAAAGAGTTAAAATTTGGTGAGATCAGCAAGATGAAACTTGTGTGTGATAATCAAGCTGACCTTCATATTGCATCAAATCCGGTGTTCCATGAGAGAACTAAATACATTGAGATTGAATCTCACTTCGTCAGAGAAAAGATAATCTCAGGAGATATTGCTACAATGTAATGTTTGTGAAGTCGAATGATCAGCTTGCAAATATTTCACTAAGTCTCTCCCTGGTCCTCGTATTAGTTATATATGTAACAAGTTTGGTACATACGATTTGTATGCACTGGCTTGAGGGGGAGTGTTAGATAGTTATGTAAATTACCCTAGTCTCTCATAGAATATGAGTAGAATATGTATCGTGTATATTTATAAATAGGGTTATTGTAAAACGCTTTTAAAAAATTAATATTATATTTTTCTCCCACGCATTCTCACAGTTGTTGTATTTAATTATTTACTCTTATATGAGTATGATGTTTGGCTAGAACCTTTTACAATTCAGTGCCAGGATTTGGAGAATCTCTTTACATGCCAGTATTGGAATGAAATGGATCCGAATAGAGTAGAAGGGTTATAGAGGATTCATATGGTCTACCTCAACTAGTTTGAGATTGAGGCTTAGCTGGTTAATAGATTTTGATTCAGCTATTGGAGCTTTGTCTCACATCAATTGACTTTCTTGTCTTACATAAAATATTTATGTACTTTTGTTGAAACGCAATTATGTACTCTAGAAGCTGCAAAGTTGGTAACACAATCTTTCATTCAGGTTAACAAATACTATGATCTTTGCACTAGCTTCTACGAATACGGCTGGGGAGAGTCATTCCATTTTGCACCCAGGTTTGTTAATTATGGTCCATTCATGCATATGTGAACGAATGTTAGGTTTCAGCCACTTAGTTATTACTACTTACTATTTCATTCACCCTTTTGCCTGCAGGTGGAAAGGAGAATCACTCCAAGAGAGCATTAAAAGGCATGAGCACTTTCTTGCCTTGCAACTGGGATTGAAACCAGGACAAAAGGTTTGGCTTGCATATGTTATCATTAATGAAAAGAAGACATAATGAAGTACTTACAGGATTACTACTTCAAATTATCTGTTGAAACCGGGAATATGACTGTAGGTCTTGGACGTAGGATGTGGAATTGGTGGGCCGTTAAGAGAAATTGCTCGATTCAGGTGAATGAAGATACTTTGAATTGTTGAGCTCCTCACTATCATGTGGGCCCTGTATTTCAATTTATCCTTTACTGGGCGATTTTTCAAACTGAAATGCGATTAATTGTATATGTGCCCCCCCTTTTACCATACCATGAGCTTGGTAGTCAAATTCAGAATTTAACTTGATGAAATTCCATATTGCTAATTGCATCATGATATATAATGCTAAGTTTGCCACGCCACCATATATAATAGATATCTCATGTTGGCAATGCATTAATTAGCATGCTTTGTGTACATGTGATCCCTCATTATCGGATGGGTATTGTAGGATGAACTTTAGTGCTATTGGTGAATAATCTGTTCAGTAAATGGCACTTATCTCACAACTCTTGAGATCGACTTAGACTCTGCTGTATTCAATCTCACACCTTGAGCTAAGTAATGACATAGAATGGTACTGAACATCTGAAAGTTGAGAGGCGACGAAATGAATGCTTGCCCATTTAGGAGCTTGTTAGATGTCACAACCCTGTGTTTCACATCTTTTATTGACACAATGAAAGCAGTTAATGAGGACTGCAAATTCATCACTTGCTCTTTTTTACTTAATAGTGGTAAATTGTATATGACACGATCTGTGAAATTCCTTATGGTAATCTGCTCTTTTTACCTAACAATTTTTGTAGAGTCTCACCATTTTTATTATAATCATGCAGCTCTACATCAGTTACAGGCCTCAACAATAATGAATATCAGATATCTAGGGGACAGGTATTTGCTTTGCTCCCTAGTTGTGTTTGTAAAACCAGCTCTTGCAAGATGTCATGTATTTTGGCAGAGATTACCTGTTACTTATTCTGACCAAATATATTAACAAATTAGAAGGATAGAATTGGAAGCATCAGACCTTTTTACTTTTCTCTGAAATCTGGTTTCTGAGATCACATGTCATCTAGTTTTCCAGCCAAAAGATAAAAAGAAAAAGGCTGATTATTTCGCTTTCCCATTTCAAATGGTTGAAAAAATTTATTTAGTTTTAGAGTATAGTTGTCTAATACCCTTTACTCTACAGGTGTTGAACCGCAAAGTAGGATTGGATCAGACTTGCAACTTTGTAAAGGTAGTAAATTTGCAGATCAAGTCAAACTTCTTTGAACTGCCTGTTCAGTGCATGATTTGATTGTCTTGTGGTGTCAATGCAGGGTGATTTCATGAAAATGCCATTCCCTGACAATAGCTTTGATGCAGTGTACGCAATAGAAGCTACCTGCCATGCACCAGATCCAGTGTGTATATTTTTACTGTGTTCAATTTTGATTTGTATATTGACTGCTTGTTGGTTATTAATACATTTAATCTTATAAGGTTGGATGCTATAAAGAGATTTACCGGGTGCTGAAGCCTGGTCAATGTTTCGCTGTGTATGAGTGGTGCATGACCGATTCTTACAACCCCAATAACGAAGAGCACAACAGGATCAAGGTACATCCTGAAGCATTGAAGTAGTTTATCAATCTATTGGATAGTTTTACTTATCTTAATTCTTTCATTGTCCAAAGGCCGAAATTGAGCTCGGAAATGGCCTCCCTGAGGTTAGATTGACAACACAGTGCCTCGAAGCAGCCAAACAAGCTGGTTTTGAAGTAAGTGCCAAGTCCTTTTCTTCTAAAGCCATCAAGTAGTTGACTTCCCCTTGGAATTTGCATTTAAACTCTACTTGTCTATGAAGGTTGTATGGGACAAGGATCTGGCTGATGACTCACCTGTTCCATGGTACTTGCCTTTGGATACGAGTCACTTCTCGCTCAGTAGCTTCCGCCTAACAGCAGTTGGCAGACTTTTCACCAGAAATCTGGTAATATTTCTTACAACACTGTCTCTTTATTGTTTCGGATAGTTCATCTGTAGACCTGCATGGAAGGCGGGGGATAATTTTGACATCCCAATTAGTTCATTGTCAGAGTTTCCCTTGAAGTATAAGATATTTTTTCTCCATATAAAGTTCCACATCACCTATACAGTCTTTGGTTTTCGGTATAAATCCTGCATAACTATTATGATCTCCTTATAAAATCCTGCATAATATGATTTCCTCATAAAATCCTGCATAATATGATCTCCATATAACTAAGGCTATGTTTGGTTTCGCATAAGCTATGCAGAGTCTAATACCAGAAACCAAATGTTGTATTACCAATTTTGGTACAACTTATATGAGAATTTATGTATTATTTTACTCGGGTATAATGTGGGACAGGAATACACGTAACTAAACGACCCCTAAACTGTTTCACATGATTTATTAGGTTTCGGCGCTTGAATACGTGGGACTTGCTCCTAAAGGTAGTCAAAGGGTTCAAGCTTTCTTAGAGAAAGCTGCAGAAGGTCTTGTCGGTGGTGCCAAGTAAGATTATGACTCCCTCGTAAATATTATGTAGTCGACTAGTTTCATATACCGTAATATTGAACATATGATTAACATCTTTAACCTGTTGTTTCAGGAAAGGGATTTTCACACCAATGTACTTCTTCGTGGTTCGCAAGCCCATTTCAGACTCTCAGTAATATGGAGTTTAGTCACTTAGCTTTTTGCTTTAG